CATGCTGCTTGAGATCGGGTCAGCAGCGTCCCAGGAACAGGAGTTCACTCTGTGCTTATACATTTGGTTCTTGTTCCAGCAAGTTTGGAGAGGTGTGAAAATGAAAACTGGCTGTGCTGAAAGTTAGCTAGGCTCCTCTGCTCATCAAGGAAGTTCAGCTCAGGTTTCAACCAGCAGCTTGTGGTTTGGCATGAAAGAGACTATTCTAGTTCACAGCAGGATGTAAACACCCTGGGCGAGCATTACTCTTCTTCAGGAGACCTCTGGCCACCTGCTCAAGCATTCATCCTTACTCTGAATTTATTACAAGTGCCCTGGGATTTGCTGTGGAGGAGTGGCAGTAAATACATGTTTTTTCCATTCTCTGAGATAGTTTTGAAATCATTGTTATATGTGCCAGGAGAAAGAGGGAAAGTGAGCATGTTTTCCCACATGCTGCTGGGCCTCATGCTCTTTTACCTCAGGTCTCCCAGCCTCTCCCACCCCAAGCCACCCCACACAGCCCTCATGCCCCAGCCAGAGGAGGGCCCTGAAGTTTGCTGGCAGATCCCCAGGACCTCCAAAAAACACATGTTCTCACAGATGCTGCTGGCATCCGAGAGCCTTACCCCAGCCCAGCACTGTGCTGCATTCCAGAGCAATCCCCCACCGCCCTCCTGAGGGGTTCCTGGGCAGCCTTCCAGAGGGGCTGTGGGGTAAACTCACTCCCTGATGATGTCCTGGAAATCACAGAATTAATTAAGCTGGAAAAGTCCTCTGAGATCATTGAGTCCAACCTAAAGCCTAGCACCACCTTTATCAACTCAACCATGGCACTGGGTGCCACATCCAGTCTTTCCTTAAAAACCTTCAGGAGCAGTGACTCCACAACCTTTCTGGGAAGTCCATTACAACATCTAATCACCATTTCTGTGAAGAATTTCTTCCTAATGTTTAACCTCAACCTCCAGCACAGCTTAAGGCGATGTCCTTTCATCCCTTATTCCCTGAGAGCAGGGCCGGCCCCTGCCTGGCACAACCTCCTGTCAGGGAGTCGTGCAGAGCCATAAGGTCCCTCCTGAGCCTCCTTTTCTCCAGGTTAAACACCCCAGCTCCATCAGCTGCTCCTCACAGACCTTGTGCTGCTGCCCCTTCCCCAGTTCCAGTGCCCTCTCTGGACTTACTCCAACATCTCGATGTCCTTCCTGAGTTCAGGGGCCCATGATGTGACACAGCACACCAGGTGTGGCCTCATCACTGCCCCAGTCCTGCTGGCCACACTGTTACTGATACAATAGGTACAGAAAGCCAGGTGCCTTTGGCCTTCTTGGCCACCTGGGCTCACCTGGGCTCATGTTCAGCCACTATTGAAAAGCATCCACAGGGCCTTTTCCTCAGGGCCACTCTCCATCCACTCTGTCCCCAGCCTGTAGTGCTTCATGGGGCTGTTGTGGAAATATGTGGCACCTGGCCATCTTGTACCTCATGCTGTTACCTCAGCCCATCGATCCAGCCCGTCCAGATCCTTCTCCAGAGCCTCCCTATCCTCCAGCGATGGAAGAGCTGAGTCCTCTCCCCCCGATGCTGTAGGGAGCTGCCTCCCCACAGCGCTGAGGGACATGGGGGACAGCCCTGCTCGGCTGCAGCTGCGACCCCCACCGCCCTCCAGGGAGCAGAGGGTCAGCACCCTCAGCCTCCTTCCCAGCCCCATCCTCCAGGAACACCAACCTCTCCTGCTTAGCCTGCCTCGAGCTTTGGGGGCTTCCTGGGGTGAGGCGGGTGTGAGCAGCATCCCACCGGGGAATGCTGTGAGGGACAGGGGACACAGGTGCAGTGAGGGATGGGGACACAGGTGCTGTGAGGGATGGGGACACAGGTGCTGTGAGGGATGGGGACACAGGTGCTGTGAGGGATGGGCACACAGGTGCAGTGAGGGATGGGGACACAGGTGCAGCACAAGCTGCTCAGCTGGAAACAGCTGGGGCTGTTTGTTTGTAGGAATTGTGTGACAGAGGCTGGAGCTGTTTGTGTGTGATGAGGTGAGTGATCCGTGGGTGGCAGTCACACATGTGAGAGAGCAGAGCAGGGTTCTGCAGCTTCAGGTGAGTGCTCCAGCCCCCCTTGGCCTGTGCCAACAGGTGTTCAGCCAGAAAGTACCGAAGAGCACCAGGGGTTGTTATCTGGCACATCCCTAGCACACTGCCTGGTGTGTTTCGTGGTGTGTTGTTAATTTCTGCAGTGCCAGCAACATGCCTTTCTTTGTTCCATGTCTGTTAAATAAGGTGCTCCTTCATAATGCATCATCAATTGTGTTCATTTTCATTATCATTCCCTTCCTCATTACTCAAGATGCACCTTCTAAGGGACCCCGTGATAGGAACATAAGGTTAGTACTTTATGGGTGAGTACTTTCTTGCATTTGAGCACTGTTGCATTTCAGATTGTGCCAGCTTTCTGTATATTGGTGTTCCATCATGGAAAAACTAAGCTCCTTCCTTCTCTTTCTGCAATTTTCTACTTAGGAGCATTAATGCAATGTTACAATTATGCTAACATTAAGCAAATTGTTAAAAGGACTTAAAAAGTCCTTGTAATTGAGTGACAGATACTTATGACTGAATCCATTTAAATGCTCAATATAAGACAATCAGGATAAGATTACAGTATTTTGATCTTGATATTCTGATTCTCCCAGTGCAGATTGATTGATTGATTGATTGATTGATAAGTCAGGTTGTCCTACACAGAGGAGAAGAATTAGAGAAGGATTGAATTTTGCTTCTATA